ACTTGCTTCGGTACAATAAAAGTTTTAATCTAAATTCGGTTCCGCCATTAATTTCAATGGTTCAAGAAAAGTTCTATAAGGCCTATATGGATCCAGAGTAGGGCCAGTAGGGCTGGGCACATTCCAACTTTTTGTTAACGGTTAGTTCCAAGTTCCAACCCTTTAAAAATGTCATGTAACCTTTAGCTTTAAAGGTAAAAACGAAATGTTTGTTTTATGAATGTTAATTTTCCTGGTTGTTTTTAGTTACCCTTAGCTAACAATCTCAATTTTATTATCAGCGACAACGAAAGATATTCCACAGTTAAAGTTTTTTTGCAATTAATGTCAATAGCCGATCAAAAAAAAAGCAAAGTGCAAAAGAACCGCTAACGCTTTGTCAAATCGTTAAGATTGCAACAGTTAACAATTTTTTTTAAAAAATGGAAACCCTATTTTTTAGGAATGTTTGTGTATGATAACCAGCTCACTGTGTTTGGAGGGTATGGAGCGGATAGGTCAATTGAAGTTTACAACGGAACATCCTGGGATATCTCTAATGATATTCTTGCAAAAGATTTTACCTTTGGAGTTTTAGTTGAAGCAAAATGTGCAGCCTAAACTAGATACAGGGTCTTATGAATGATATACGCAACATTCCACAATATTATTTCTTTTTATAAATGTATTTAGTATTTTTTAGCAGTTTGAATTATAATCTATAGTTACTAACTTACTGGTATTCCGTGTCTAAGTAAAAAGAGTGATTAAGGGTTTCATGGGTTTGATGGTATAGCTTAAAACATATATAACACTTCTGAAAATATATACCTGATTGTTTTGAAAGGAATTTATTATTGATTGCAAAGTTATTTGTGGGTTCGATCTTTCACATGGTAAAACGTTTCACTGTTTTGAATTTCCTTTGTCAGAGTATAGAATTAGATTAGATTAGATTAGATTAGATTATATTAGATTAGATTAGATTAGATTAGATTAGATTAGATTATATTAAATTAGATTAGATTAGATTAGATTAGATTAGATTAGACTAGATTAGATTAGACTAGATTAGATTAGATTAGATTAGATTAGATTAGATTAGATTAGATTAGATTAGATTAGATTAGACTAGATTAGATTAGATTTTATTATTATTATTATTATTATTATTATTATTATTATTATTATTTTAGTGGAATTTTTATAATCACAATCTTAGATTAATAAATATCAATTGCTTACATCTTTCTTTAGTTTTCCGAGATAATATATCTCTCGGTTCTACGTTCTCCGGTAGTCTTGGGATAGTCTCCGGTAATGTCGGATCAGTATTCATCTTACCTCCGGTGTGGTTGGAGTAGTATTCATCTTACCTCCGGTGTGGTTGGAGTAGTATTCATCTTACCTCCGGTAATGTCGGATCAGTATTCTTCTTACCTCCGGTGTGGTTGGAGTAGTATTCTTCTTACCTCCGCTTTGGTCGGATGATGCAGTTTGAAATATTAAGTATTATATTAAGTACTGAATGGAGCAAGGATAGGAAAAAACTGACAAAAGACTAACTTTATAAGTTACACATAGATCCAGATTGCTATATAAAGTTTTATCGATTTTTAAGACCGGGTCGACTTTTAAGTCTTGCAACTTGGATACTTTGGGGAAGATTAATTCCAAAACTAACACTTTTCCAGCACTGAGTGTTAGGAATGCATGGGCACAAATTAATAGACTGGGGTTTTAAGATCCTGCCCCATATCGAGAGTAAATGTTGATATTAAAAACTATAACCAACATTTTTTTCATCATTTATTAAATTTATTTATTAAATTATTTTTAAAAGGGGTTTGGTGGGAAAACTGTCAAAAGCTGACTTTATAAAGATCGCAACGATCTAGATTGCTTAAACAAGTTTTATTAAATTGGGTCGACTTTCAAGGCTCACAACGATAACTCGGTTAAACTTTTTTTAGAACTTCAGTACAGTACAGTACAGTACAGTACAGTAAAGTACAGTACAGTACAGTACAGTACAGTACAGTGAAAACCAGAAAACTCTGGAACAGGAACTCGACTTTTAGACTCTAGGTATAACTTTAAATATTCCCTTGAACACGAGGCACATTAATTGTGCAATGTCAATAGAACCAATCTAAAAATTTGCTAGTGACACAGTAGTATATTTGAATTTCCAATCCGGGTCAACCTTTCCGGTCCCAGTTTGTAATGCACCGCACGGACATTGGTTTAATAAAGAAGACAATCAACAGGACTAGCCGGTGCAACAAGGTTGACGCGGGCAGACTTTATGCTTCATATACAGGGTGTCCCACGAAACATAACAGTTGGTGAATAGTTTAGAATGTCTTCTTCCATAATTTGTTAAGTTGTTTGATACCAAAGACAATGATAAAAATTTTGTTTAGTAGTCATGTTATAGTTAAATTGATTTAAAAGTAAAATATATTTAAACAAAAGATTTTTCTAACGAAATAAACCGCAAAAAGCCTTTAATATCTAATACAGTATAGGGAAGACGACATTCATAACTAATTATCAACTGTCATGTTCCGTGGGACATCCTGTAGGTTGAATTTACTTTTACTAAAGGGACAGAGGTGCGTGGTGAACCTATTCATAATCCACTTTTGTATTGCTTTGATGTCGTCTTCCTAATATACAGTTTTCTGGTTATTTTACATACAGGGTGTCCCACGAAACATGACAGTATGCAGGACGACTTGAATGTCGTCTTGATTTTTGATATAATTTGCTGCGTTTATTTGTCAACCTAATTTTAGAAGTAAATTTCTAGAGATAATAATCACAAAATTTCCCTTGTCCTGCCATTTCCAAAATGTGGTCTGCCTTTTTTGTGCTTTCAATATTGCCCGAGATATGAAGAATTTCGTTCAGATTTCGACAATTTTGCTTTTATTTAACAAAATTGAAATCTGAACCAAACTCTTTATATCTCCAGTAATATTGAAAGCACAAAAAACGCAGACCACTTTTTGGAATTCCCAGGGCTAGGAGAATTATGTGATAATTGTTTCAAGAATCATACATGTTAAAGTAGATAGAAAACTAAATGTCACAAATAAATTCAAATACCAAAGACGACTTTCAAGTCGTCTTGCTATTGTCATGTTTCGTGGGACACCCTGTATTATAATTTTTAAAAACTAAGTTTTACTTTTTAATCGGGAGTTTTCTTTATACCGTCCATAATATATAATTTTGGTAACTTGATCTGGTGGGGCTGAGAAGAAACGAAACTACGGGATTTTCGACCTAAATAATTATCTGATTTTGCTATCTATCTATCTATCTATCTATCTATCTATCTATAATGCGTAAATTTGTTTTACCCGCATAAGCAAATTTTCCGTGAGTTAAGTCCTATACGCTCTAACGCAAATATCTATGGGAATTTTGCCAATTACATCTTGAAAACTAAAGCTGAAAACAATTTCTTTTTACAGTAAACAGAAAACTGTAGAATAGCAAGATAACAATATACAGCAATACTAATGTACATTTGATATTTGTTGCAACGCAAATAGCTTCATTAGTAACCTATTAAATCACTTATTAAGTAAAATGGGTCTGTTTACACTGCACATTTGCTGTGCCTTATGTCCATTAGACTATTTAAAGCCATAAAACTTGAGTCTAAAAGTCAAATTCCTATTCCAGAGTTTTCTGGTTTGTGTAGCCTCTAAAATGTACATTACAGCTATTTTTCTTTGCCAATTGTACCATTGCATTGGTGTACTCTTCAACCTTTACCTATTTAAAGGGACTGTCCGGGTAAATTTAGGCGACTCTCCATGCACAGGTGACAAAGTCCGATTCACACCTTTACTCTTGAAACCTTAATCTGGTAAAAATGTGGAAGACACCATCGTTTTCTGACTCGAAAAGTGTTTCTCTATAATTGATTCTTTTAAACAAGAAATGCGCAAGTCACTTTCCCAGAGAAACTTCAAATGAAAATAATCAGTTTATAGAAACAAAAACATGGATATCTAAATCCTACTTCATCAGAAAAAGATGAAAATGGTACCGTCGCATGGTTGCATAGACATCTTTGCATGAAAATTGAAAGGTCGCTAAAAAATACGCCTATAGTCCCTTTAAAAAACATAAAAGCATAAAAAGAAAATAAATCTTTAAGTTACTTGACATAATTATCTTGATACTCTCGTATATTCAGAAAATATAAAAATAAAACTTAGCTCTTACTAAAAAAAACATTTCTCACTAATATTAAAATGTTTTACTAAAAATAAAAATTCAGTAAACGGAAAAAAACAGATAAAATTTAACCCTACTTTCAGAATTAATTTCGAAGCAAAAAACTTGCTTCGGTACAATTTTATCTATATTTTATTTAAATTCTTATTTCTACCCTTGGAAAAGTTTTAAAATGTAAAAATCTTGTAATTAAACTATATGCACTGACGTTAGCCGAAGGGTTTAATATAAAGAGATAAAAGTTAATGAAAAAAGTTTAAGATGAATGTTTTGTTTTGGTCTATATGTACGTCGTCAAGGAGGCTGAACTGATTTAAACAGAAAAATGTGCGAAAATTTTAGTTTATTAGAGTACAATGAAAAAAATGGCTGTTTGAAAAGCATCAGTTAAAAAAAGTTTGTTTCTGGTCAAATAACCTAACTGGTCTGATACTGGTCTTAACCTGACCAATCCACTTAGGTCGGATTTGGTCGAGATTGGTTGAGTTATGTCAGGAGACCTAACTGGTCAGAACATGACCAGTCACCCTAGGTCGTGTTTGGTCAGGTTAGGTCGGGTTAGGTTGAGTTACCTAACTGGTCTCATACTAGTCTTAACTTGACCAATCCACTTAGGTCGGATTTGGTCGAGATTGGTTGGATTAGGTCAGACTTGGTTGCTTTACCTAGCTGGTCCTAACTTTTCATAACTTGACTTTTTAGTCATATTGGATTACCAAACTGGTCATAACTGGTCACAACCTAACCATGTGTAGTAGTACTAATACACTAAATTAAGCTCTGCTCAGTGGTTAATAAATAGGATAAATAAATATCTAGTTTGGTGATTTGGATGTCAAAACTTTGGTCATTTGGACGTCAAAAGTTTGGTTACTTGGACGTCAAAAGTTTGGTCATTTGGACGTCAAAAGTTTGGTCATTTGGACGTCAAAACTTTGGTCATTTGGACGTCCAAAGTGACGTCATTTCGACTTCGAAAATTAGGTTGTGAGGATGTAAGAATCCTTGCGTTAAACGTCCTCGACACGTCCTCAACACCTAAAATACGACGTCGCCTGACGTCCCATTGGTAATTATTGACGTCCTCACGACGTCCTAAGGACGACTTCTGGTTTCTAGGGTATAAATTAAACAAATCCGTAAGGTTAAAGATTGTTGAATCATAGACCAAAACACGTTTAATTTCAAATATGAAGAAACCAAATGCTGCTCACTCATGGTTAGTACGGGGTGCCCCTCTCAATTGAAATTTCAATTTCAAGTATACTTTTCTTCGATTACATTTTGATTAAATAGATAAAATTTGGCCTGAAGTCACCTTCTGCCTTTTATATATCCTTATGAAAAAAGCATTTTCATTTAATGTAAGAAAATTCGCAATCTTTGTTACCAAAGTACAATAAAATAAATCGCTGCTTGAAAAGTATCAGTTAAAAACGATAGTTACTAGATAAAATATTCTTAAAAACTAAGATT